CATGAGATATGAGATTTGAACTAAATACCCAAAAACAAACCGAGAGTTTGCTGCGAGTTTTGTGTGTGGTTAGTTTCACATTGTAAATTAAGAAAACAAAGTTTGGTTGTTCCACTTCCCAGTCGCGCACTGAGACGCGAAGCAAGAAACAATACTGCCAAAATCCAAATCCAAATCCCCACCCAATTTCTTCTCCACCAAAACCCTAAAACTCCTACCTTGTACTCGCTGGAGATGGCCTCTTCCTTATCCCTAAAGCCAACGAACCTTCTCCTCTCCTCTTTCTCCACGACCAGACTCCTCCGTTTTCGCCACTCTCGCTTCAGCCACAGACCGTCTTCTTGTCGGACCCTCGTGGCTCAGTTCGGGTTCAGACCAGGCTCGTTTCCCGACCCGGCCGATTCTTTCGATTTTATCAGAGACCATGCCGAGAATCTTGTACACACGATCGCTGATGCCGCTGTTTCGTCCTCCGAAACCTTTGACTCTGTTGCTGGCACTACCACCACAAACCAGAACAGTGATTGGTTCTCTGGTATTGCCAATTACATGGAAACTGTTCTCAAGGTAAAACAAACTTCTTCTCTCTTTTTTCCTGTGCTATGTAATTGATTTTGGTTGGTTTTGAATTGCAGGTTTTGAAAGATGGGTTATCAACTTTACATGTACCTTATTCCTATGGTTTCGCTATCATTCTACTCACTGTGCTTGTTAAGGCCGCTACGTTCCCATTGACCAAAAAGCAGGTTTCAGTTTTGTTTCCATGACCGCTAAAGCCAAGACACAATTATGGTCGATTTTCATTCAACTGGTTGTCTACAGGTCGAATCTGCTATGGCTATGAAATCTTTGCAGCCTCAAATAAAGGCCATTCAGGAACGGTATGCCGGTGATCAGGTGAAAACCATTCTTCCATACCGCAACATGGATTTTATTATTTCCCGAAAAGAAGCATTTGCTGATTCCATACTAAGCCATAGTTGCCTCAATCATTGGTTCATAGATTTAAGGAAAATGTAGGAACAAGATGTTGCTATTGCTTCCATCCATCATTGTGGAGTGATACTAATGAATATACCAAATATTCTAGCTTTACTTTCTATGGATGTAGCCTTCTTGTTAAAACAAAGAGCTTCCTACTTTCTGTATATCTTTGCAGGAGAGAATTCAGCTTGAAACTGCCAGATTGTATAAACTTGCTGGAATAAATCCCCTTGCAGGTACAGTTTGTTGCTTCAAGTTTTATTTTATTTTTCCATTTGAGACAACAGTTTTGTAAATGGGGTTTTTCCTTGATTTCATCCAGCTTGCGGTTAAGCTCATATTTTCATTTGATCTGTTAGGCTGCCTCCCCACACTAGCCACAATACCAGTCTGGATTGGGCTATATAGAGCCCTCTCAAATGTTGCGGATGAGGTACCTCAAAAAAAAAAAACTATATCATTTTGTTAAGTGCTTCGAGATTCTTTTCTGATGATGCTTGCTTCCTACTTTAAGGGGCTTTTAACAGAAGGTTTTTTCTGGATTCCTTCTCTTGCTGGACCAACAACTGTTGCTGCAAGACAGAATGACAGTGGAATCTCATGGCTGTTCCCTTTCACTGTAAGTTTCAATCCTGAACCTCGATATTAAGTGGTGTTGAAATTTTGAAAGTGGAATCTAGACTAGAGTCCTAGTTCTTGTCAACTCTTATTCACTTTAATTATTCAAGCATAGAACACTGATTGTATTGAAATGATTGAAGAGGACTGGAGTAGTAATTTGTCGACTGATGTCTACAATTTTTCATTTGATTTCCCAGGAGGGACACCCACCTCTCGGATGGTCGGACACATTAGCATATCTTGTCTTACCTCTGTTGCTCGTCTTCTCTCAGTACCTCTCCATTCAGATTATGCAGTCAGCGCAGTCGCAGGTATAGCATCATTCGGCATATGTGATAATCTACTTGGTAGTTACCTCTAGCTTGAAGAATAATAAGCTGGTTATGAAAATATGTAAATTGGTGCATTTTCCCAAAGATCATTCGGTTCACTAAATTAAGCTGACTACGAATCCTTTACGCAGTATAGAGATTTATAGTGTACCATTTATTATCATCATGTCTTTTTCAGAGTAATGATCCAGCCATGAAGAGCTCACAAGCAGTGATGAAGCTTCTTCCGCTAATGATTGGCTATTTTGCACTATCAGTTCCGTCTGGTTTAAGTCTTTATTGGTGAGAAGAAGCAACCTGGTTTTGTGTATTTTGGTGGGGGGGGGGGCAGATTTCCACTTGCTTTGTTTTCAGTTTAAAGAGTGCTTTTGCAGGTTGACCAACAACATTTTAAGCACAGCACAGCAAGTATGGCTTCAAAAATATGGTGGTGCCAAAAATCCAGTGGAGAAGTTGACTAATTTGGTCATGAAGGAAGATAAAACTCAAAAAGTTGAGAAGTCTATTTCAGAAACGGTGATTCAGAAGTCTGTTTCAGAACCGAAAATACCAAGAGAGAAGGGTGGTGAAAAAGTGGTCCCAGAAGGGCCCAAACCTGGTGAAAGGTACTAAACTTTCTGAAATGTGTCATTCGTGAGTAGAAGCCTTTTGTTAAATTATTAACACGTTGTTGTCATCTCAGGTTTAGGCTGCTCAAAGAGCAAGAAGCAAAGAGACGTCGAGAAAAAGAAGAGGAGAGGCAGAAAGCTGAAGCAGCTCTATCAAATCAAAATACAAACAGTGCACAAGACCATGAGCCGAAATCTGATACAGCCGATGTCGACGAAGGCAATAATGAAAAAAATGAACTTTCTGCAGTCCAAGAAACAACTGATGGCACGGTTTCTGTGAATGGGAAGCCATCCATTCAAAAGGATAAGAGCACGAATGGTAAATTTGGCGTTGGCCATGATACAGAACAACACCATTCTCATGAAACATAGAATGCTGTAAACACTAGTCATCAAGACTCTTTGTGTTCATGTATGAAGGCAAAGCCACAAGAGAAGGAATCTTGGTATTCGGCCTTAAACCCACTGCAACAGAGTCGGAAGATAATAGATCTTAAGAGTGGGGACATTTGTCCTTAAGGTTAAGAATTTGTGTACAAAGACCACATGAAACCGGTTTTTGCAAGTCATAGAAACTTTGTTCATGAACTTTGTTCATGTGCCTTGTATTCTTACGTTTATCCTCATTCACTGGTTTAAAGTTTAGACTTGTGGGCATCTGTGATTAAAACTTAGAAGAAAATGCAAACGAGGTGTGTTGCCATCTATAGACAAAGAGTACTTGGAACTGAAGTTTACGAGCAGCGATTCTTAGCTGTAACAGATGTTGAGACATTTGTTGGACATCTGTAAATGGGTCCAACAAATGCTATTTCCGATGAGTTTCTAGGATTTCATTTCGGTGATATTTCCAATGAGTTTTAGGGCTTCTCTACTTGATTTGTGTCCTCTTTTTGCATGGTGGTTCTTTCTCTGTTCGATCAAACAGTGGTTTCTAGGGTTTCTCTAGTTGATTCGATCATGTTCTTTTTCTTCTTCGCTTTCTTTGTTGATTTATCGATGTAAGCAATTAGTTTTCTTTGTTGATTTATCGATGGAAGCAATTAGCGAGTAAGAGTTTTTAGGGATTTGTTGAAGATAAGGTGAATCCCGACATATCAGGGAGTTGATATCAATTTCGTTAAGATGTTATGCAGATATCCTTAGAATTTCTAATTGCTTCCATCGATAAATCAACAAAGAAAGCGAAAAATAAAAAGAACCTGATCGAATCAACTAGGGAAACCCTAGAAACCGTCGTTTGATCGAACAGAGAAAGAACCACCGTTTGGTATGCAAAAAGAGGACACGAATCAACCAAAGAAGCCCTCGAAACTCATCGGAAATATCACCTAAATGAAACCCTAGAAACTCATCGGAAATAGCATTTGTTGGACCCCTTCGAAAATAACATTTGTTGGACATCTGCAGACCTCTTCTCTGCAGAAGATACTTGGAACTAAACTGAAGTTTTCCTCTGCAAATTTGGTCCACCATTGTATCCTAAATTCAGCAATTTTTCAGATGCATTAATGTCTCCAAACTTGTTGAACAGCTAAACACTGATCTATCTGAATGCTATTTGGCTTCAATAACANAANTGGGATAAAGTCAAAATCAGCACGCGCGCACACAAGAAAGATTCTTAAGATGTTCTTAAATAAAGGGAAAAAGTGAAGGATCATGAAGTTGAATAGTATCAAAAACTAATCGATACCAAACAAAAAAACCACCCCAAGAGGCCAAAGGTAAATACAAAGGTAGCTCCATCAGTATTCAGAAGGAGAGATGACATCATCGATCTTTAGAATCATCTTAACGACCTGCGTTGCAAGCAAAATCTGCTGCTGCTTCCCGATCAATGTTTCAAACACATTTTGCTCCCTCATATCGTTTGTTCCCACATCATTGCAATCTATCCCATAGAAGGGAATATTCTCCTGTTCATAAAGCCAATTGTTGTTCAGTCACCGCACCAACATATCAATGCCACTATAGATAATAAGCTCGTCAGTTACTTCTTACCTTAATTTGCTGAGATTTAACCGCAGAGAGTGTCTCAATCAGCTGTAATCCGCTGTTCTCTGCAAGCGCCATAGGGACAGAGTCCAAAGCTTCTGCAAATGCCCTAATTGCATACTGCATATACGGAAGTATATATACATAATATGACTCCAGCGTTAAGATTTGTAAAATAACTGATTTCACTTCAGACTCAAAGAGAAGAGGGAATATAGTCTTTTACCTGCTCAACACCAGGGTATTTATCAGCAGCTGCCTCAACTGCAAGTGAGCATGCGATTTCAGCTGCACCACCTCCATACACAATTGATTTATTGCGGATGAGATTCCTAGCCACACACAGAGCATCATGGATACTACGCTTCGTTTCTTCTATCATCATTTTGTTACCTACACCGTATCCCATAATAAATTGTTCCATCAAATATTTGTCCACNAAATACGTACTTTGAAGCATATTAGATTCAGTACATCGGTTTTTTCTCTCATCAAACAATGACATAGTAAAAACAGTGTAACAATTATAAAAGAAAAGGCTATGAGTACCTCCACGGATGAAAACAGTGACAGCTCTTGAGTTTGCACAGTGCTCAATATACAGCATTCGTTCTTTTGTTGTGCCAAATGATTTCTCACGAACCAAGCCAGCCTAAACATATGAAGAAATGTGGGGATTAATGATCTGTTTCAATATACTTAACATCCACTCAGTATACTGGAAAGACCTACAGAAAGTAAATAATACCTTCCCTAACTTCTCTGGGGTCAACTCCTGGAATCTTGGAACAATTCTTCCGCCTAGAAAAGATAAAAATCCTATCAGCTCTACATAATTGATGGAAAACACTATCAGTAGATGCTTCAAGTAATGTACTTACCTGTGGCTATCGCGATAAGTTCTAATTCAACACCCCCGACCCATCTGACAGCAGGCAAATTCCTGTGCATCAAAAGATGGTTTGCCTCATCATCGAATCCCCATTGGCAAATAACCAGTGTAGCGCCAACATCCTGGAATTTTAAGCATAAGGATCATACATAAAAAAAAACTGCACTCTGGTATTTAATTTCCATTGTGAAAAGACAAACATTCTAAAATAGCTCACTCAACATCCAAATCAATATCCAAATGATAATGAAAAATAAGAATTTGAATTAAACCTACCTTGCACTTTTGAACCATCTCGTCGAAATATTGCTGCTCTTGCTTGCGCAATGTCTCAAACTTCTCCACTGTGTCAATGTCCACCTTATGCTTAGTCTTGGGCTTCGGTGGCTCAAAGGGGCAGGTCAAAATGGCAATGTGAGCATCTTCAATTTGCTTAGGCATTTGTGGATGACTCATGTCTTTGTCAACCAGTATTCCATATATAAGCTCAGTGTCCTCCAACTTTCCACCGACTTTGCCCTCTACTTTGATCAGATCTAAGTTGACATCTTTCCTCTCTAAATCAGCAACAGCAAGAACTGCTTTTACAGCAATCTCAGCTAAACTGCGCTTGCATCGGTTCACACTGTAGAAATGAGCAAAAAAACCATTAAAGATTGGGACAATATTCTAAAAACCAAATAAAAAAGTATTGAAATGTTTAAAAGGAAGGAATATTACATCTTTGAGGATAGAGTAGTCATGCATGTTTGAACCAGTGGCTCAAAGTTATTAACGTCAAATTCAAACTTTTGAGCTATACGCTCCAAATGCTCAACTGCCACTCTAGAAGCCATCTCATATCCTTCAGCAATACGGATAGGATGAATTCCCCTATCTAACTGACGTTCAGCTTGCTCCAGAAGAGCACCAGCCATGACAACAACACCTGTTGTGCCATCACCAATCTCGTAATCTTGGCTCCGTGACAGTTCGACCATAAGTTTTGCGATCTGATTGTCAACATCCATCTGCTCCAAGATGGTTGCGCCATCATTTGCTGGGGGAAAAAGGCAAGGTCAGAAAGAAGATACCATTGGTCGTTCAAAAAGAAAAATATCAACGAAAGTTCATAATGAAAACTTCAATGAATAAGACATGAGCTTGATTTGAGTAGGAATCGGATGAAAAAAAAAGAGACCAAAATTTCAATTCCGCCTACTGCTACAATTTGAGGAATTCCTTTGCATTTAAGACATAGCGAATCGATTATGAAAACAACTAAACGAACGGCGAAAGCAAGGTGGATCCATTCATGAAACAGCTTCAACAACATAACATAGTAAAGTAAAACGCAGATATGAAATCAAAGGGAGGGAGAAACGAACTGATAGTGACGTCTCCGTCAGGTCCCTGAAGCATCTTGTCCATTCCCTTGGGGCCGAGAGAGGAGCGAAGGATCCGAGCCACCGCTTTACCAGCCGCAATATTGGCTTTCTGAGCATCGATGCCTCTAAGACGAGTCTTTTGATCCTGCTCCCTCAGTATGATGAACGGACGCCCGAACTCATCGAACGCCAACGCCATTTTCGAGCTACAGATCTTGGCTTTCTCTCCCACTGCACACAAGAGAAGAAAGGGGAAAAACGAGAAGAAGAGTCTCTCCAAGATTTTAGAGCCAAAATGCTTCTGTCAAACCCTAACTCGCTCGCTCTTGATGGCAATCGAAAGGGCCCAAATAAGTAGTTGGGCTTACAGCTTAAAGCCCACCTTTCCCTTTTCCAGATTCAGTCAAGATTTTCAGTTGATCATTTTAGTATGTCATACAAGATTTTATTCAACATCAAACTCTCTTTTTCCTGAGA